CCGTGATCATTGAAAGGCTTTGACGAGGGTTCAAGGTACTTGAAATATACTTTAACCTATGGATTACACTTCATAAAATATCCTACAGTAGTAGAATGATATTGTGATGCGAATTGGATATCCGATATGAAGGATTCTAAGTCCACTAGTGGTTATGTATTCACCATTGGTGGAGCTGCTATATCATGGAAATCAACAAAGCAAACGTGCATAGCTCGATCAACGATGAAATCTGAGTTTATTGCTTTGGACAAAGCTGGAGAAGTAACAGAATGGCTTCGAAATTTCTTAGAAGATGTTCTATGTTGGCCCGAGCCAGTATTTGCGATAAGTGTACATTGTGATAGTCAATCAGCAATTGGAAGGACTTAAAACAGCATGTATAATGGTAAGTCTAGACATATTCGTCGTAGACAAAACACCATTAAGCAACTGATCTCAAATGGCGTTATCTCCATAGAATATGTGAAATCAAAGGAGAATATTGCGGATCCACTTACGAAAAGTTTGCCTAGAGATCAAGTGCGTTGCCTATTGAGACGAATGGGATTAAAGCCTACTACGTAAGAGTTTTTTCAATGGTAACCCTACCTTGTTGATTGGAGATCCCAAGATCTTGGATCAAAGGGACAACTAAGTTGTGAAAATTCCATGAAGCACTTAGAAAATTAGAATTCCTAACTCATTCCTATAATACTAAAGTGCTTTCTGCAGAGTGGATAGAGGCTAAGATTATTTTTTAATGATTCCTATATCTTGATTAAGTCAAGTGGAGTAGGGCAGAATACTCTTAATGGGAGGTCATCTATGTAAGAGTGAAGTGGGGCCGCTTCGATAAGAACTGTTTAAGGTTTGAATTCTCTAAACACTTATGAAACCAAGAAGGGTTCAGGGCCAAAATGAACCAAGTCATGAGAACTAAGTAAAGAATAGGGAAGATATCTGTGTGAGTATTGTTGTCTTGACTTATACCAAAGGCTGAGTGGTTCAAGACCTATGATTCACCAATTAGCCAATTAAGTCCGATAGTATTTCACTAAGGGAGGTTCAAGGCCAGAAGCCACCATCCCTGATGCAGTATTTTTTTGTACCCTCTCTACATTGCATCATATCATCGCATTTGCATATGCGTACCCGAGTTTCCATTCATGTGGGGGATTGTAGGAATTGGTTAAGATAATTAACCAAAAATTGGAAAATGAAAATGTATGTAAAAGTGGAAAATGAAAAGGTATGAATATGTGTCAACTTCGACCAAATATTAGGACTTAATCCGATAGTCAAATTACAAAAGTAAATAGACTAACTTATTCTACTCGTCGAGTAGATTGTCGTGGTATATTTTGAATTTCGAAACCAATTCCGGATGAATGAGAAATTGCGGACAAAATTTGGAAGAAATCAAGTGTTGCAATTTTTCGAAAGGATGCAGATTTTGGCCAAGTGTTCCAACTTTTCGAAAGGATGCTTGTTTTGGCCAACACTATTTCATTTGCACCATTTCTACATCTATAAATAGGACCCTATGGATATGGCTTTGGGTACACCAATTGCATTGAACATTCATTCTCCTCTTACAATTCTCTCCTTTCTAATTCCACAGTATTTTCATGCATTTCCTTTGTAGAGGGAAAATTCTGTCAAAAGTTCATCGATTTCTTGTGGTTTGAAGTGCTGCTACCATAAGTTGTGAATCCATTATATCTTGGAAGATATGTGCCATTCACCGTGAGCACCGTAGTGGGGCAATTTGTCTTAAGGAAAGAGATAACGTCTCGTCTTGGATTATTCTCTATTTCTATTTCTACTCCTTAATTCTTGTTTTGCGTAATCGTTATACCAAAACTCTGTCCAAATTTCCATTTATATAAATTGTGTTTTGATCATGCTCTTGTGGGTTAAAACTGGTCAAACAAATATATCAAAAATCAACCCTTATATAGCCCTTTTTATAAGTCGTCTTCAACAATATTCACTTTATAGTGATCAGGCCCTGATTCTAATTACAAAAACATTAAAAAGCAAAGGGTTAAACCCTTTGGACAACCCCTTGGTTGTCCGGGGGGTATTTCATCGGTGCTCAGGTGCCCCCACAATAGGGGGTTGTCACCAAAGAATGGTCCAAAAGCGAAACCAAAATCACTGGCACGTAGAGCGAACACACCAATAACTACTTTCACTTATCACAACATGTTTTCAAAGAAGAAGTGCACGAGGATTTTCCACGTTTCTCTCTTTCAGAAGCTAATTTTCCCAAGAATAAAAATACACATCTTTCCAGAGTCTACATCGAGGGCTAATATTGAGTCTGAATGATTATCAGGCTTTATGCATTCATATGGATGCTTAGAAGAAGTCGAAGTTTCATTATTTTGTCTTTCTTTGCATTCTAAAATGTGTCAAGGTGTTGAGTATAGATTTCAAGTGGCAATGTAAACTAGGTTTCTTTTAGCATCAATTGAAGTGCTGCTCCCCCACGAGGCAGCTCTTGCATATTCTCCACTATTGTTATGGTTGTCGGGCAACATGGAAATCTTCCAAAGAACGGCACCTCTCCGAGCATCTAATTTGGCCAAGCTCCCATGAAATGTGCAGAAAGTCTCGATACTAAAGCCTTCTTAAGGTGAAGATGTTCCGACACAAGCTGTTAGATGAATATTTTACAAGAAAATTGAATATGCTGATAAGGACTGCCAACTTAAGTTAAGCATAATTAAAATGGACAATCTAGACAATACCAGAAGTTATTAACGGCCTTTTAATTAGAAATAACACTAACATCATTGACTTTCATAGTGTAAGTATTATGCCCTAAGTCCAATCAACTTTGGATATAAATACTTTTATATATAATTAATACAATTAAATGGCAGATCTATTATTTAATTAATAGACAATTAAATAAATAATAGAGTCCGTAGATTCAAATATTTGTAATTATTAATCACAAGGAGTTGTGATTGTGAGATACAAATTACATCTGATTGAATCTTAAATCATCCGTGGTCGTAAGTAATAACGAGATATGGATATCGTTATTACGGATAGACCATCACGTGTGGCATTTCTTATTTGTGAAGTAAGTAGCTGATCTCACAAGTTAAAATGTGGTGACACTTAAATGAACACGTGGATATTTTGTTATAGAACAAAACATTGGAAACCCGTCGAGAGATTCCACATGGATAACTATCTGAGTGTCAGTGTTTAATCTCTAACGTTCGGTAGTGGAATTGGTCCTTTGACTTGAGGTCGTCATGGTACTTTATATGAGGACAGTCATACTTTGACGGTGTTGGAGGTTGCTTTGAAAAAGGGCCGCTAATACGACATCGTTCGGATACGTCAAGAATCGTATGAAGGTTGTGATTGATCAATAAAGGATTCGTCACTCTTAGATAGTAGGAGATTATGATCTGCGTTTCATTCAATTAAGTCGATGATGAAATTCTTGGCCAAGGTGTACTCATAAGTCGAAAAGGAGTTTTCGACTTATATTGACTTAATAGTGGAGTGAAAGATATGATCGATGATTGAGATTGACACAATTTCATATATCGTAATTGATCGGATCATATTGACGAAGGGATTGTAGTTTCACGATAAACGAACGAATTTGATTTTGTCATACCACGTGACATTTCCCATCACATGTATTGCCCTGACACATTGCTAGATGTCAATCAGGGACGACAAGTGTGAATTGACGATAAATTAAAATGGTGTTTTAATTTATCAATTTTGATTAGATCAAAATAATATTTCACGTCGTTAGCCATCTTGGTCGGGAACCTAATGGGTCGCATACAAAAGAGAATTAGAAGATTGCACATTGCCAATTGATTAATTTAACAATCGTTGGATATATTAATTAATTGAATTTGTTATTTATATTCCTGAATTAATTAATTGGATTAATTAATTCACGGACCGGATTTAATTAATTGGATTAATTAAATATTAGACCGGACTGGGTCGAGCCCGTTTGGGTTTATATAAATATATAGTTAGGGTTTGAGGTCCATATGGTTTTCATTATTCTTGCTGGCACAAGAGAAAACCCTAGAAGCAGCAATCTTATTCTCTGTGTGGATTACCGTTGGAGATTGGACAATTGGACAGCTGTGGTGGCGAATCAAGATTGATGGAACGAAAAGAAAAGCAAAAAGATTGCAGAATTCTTCAAAGGTACAATCCTTATCACAATTTCTGTCTAAACACAAAGGCGATTCTTGATGGGAATCGAAAATTATTTTAAATTCCGTTGTACACGTATAAGTAGATTCCCAACGCATAGAGCATTGTATACTTTCCTGTCTCTAGCAGACTGCAAATTTCATCAACACTGAATCAATCAGCATAAGAATAGCTAAATTATGTTTTTAGCTATATATGAAAAGAGAAGACCAAAGATAAAAATGGCTCATAACATACGCTTTGTAATGTTCCAGACATGGTGAGATCTGTCGCTCCTTTGACAGAAAAAATGATGGCAGGTCCACATGTCCCGAATATTACCATATAACGCACAATTGTCGGAGTTTCTCTATGTAATGTTGTCGTCATATTAAGAATGAGCCTCAAGGTGACAGATTTAAGGCCGTTTAGCTCTTCCACGTTCTTTTTCCAAAGAAACGAACCATCATCAGCTTTTATTGCTTAGAGAAATCCATTTCCAGCTTGAAAAATAGATTGTTCTAGTGAATATTGATGGTGTTGCTGTTATATCTTTCCAGCATAGAATTTCCATTAGAGACATAGGTTAGAAACAGTTAGTCGCCTTTGGCATACCTTCATTTGTTTGTTTAAATTATGTTATCAATACGTCACCTCACACGAATACATTCATTGAACCAATTCTCCATTTGTTTTTGTAAAGTTCAAAACTGATCTCAATTTTGTTCTGTATGTGTGTGTTTAATGTTGTTTAATAAATTAAGCAAGTGACGATTCGAACTTTGTTTAAATACCCATTCTATATTATTGACCAAATCCCCAAATAATCCTGCGCAAAGTCACAGGTCTGATATTCAAAGTTCAAACAGATGACTATTTGATTTTATTGTAGTTAAGTTCAACACCAAATGGTTGTTATTTCGTATGACACTTATAGTTCACACATTTTAGATATTCTGAAAGAATTTACTTTCGACAAGCTTTAGTCGACACAGAAGGCGAAGAGGGACGTTCCAGAAGTGAAAATCGGAGGCTGATATCCATTTCCAACGTATATGCATCCTTCACTAACTGACATTCCACCATATACACTCGCCCCTGTTTCATATGACCACAGAATTTTCCCATTCTTGGCGTTGATGGCATATACTGGTCCAGTTTTATAGGTCGAACCGGCAAAGAGGACGCCATTGGCAACAGTCACCGGATTCGTCATGGCATTGTTGGGTAGAGCGGTCGACCATAAAATTCTGCCGGTACCAGGATCCATTGCAACCCAACCTCCACTAGTTGTGACTTTCTTTGAAGGTAAAAGAGTGAAATTTTTTTTATGGCTATTGGCAATGTTGGTATAGACTCTTATTTTGTCAGTGGCGGCTCCCCATGTGCCTCCTCCAGCCGTACCTCCGGGACCAGCCTCCTGCATCGATTCCCTTTGTTAAATTGTATCATTCGACATACGTCATTAAACATTTGTTTCAAGTTGGTGATTGTGACAGAAAAGCTGACACGGTATCCCCGTTGGTAAATAACTAGACTACTATACATGTTACGTCAGTAAAAGTTAAATAATAAAATTTGGTGACCTATAGGGAAATTTTACCGTAGACCAAACTAGGCTGCCATTATCTCGACGGAGCGCCCATGCGAATCCACTTTTCTGCACAGCAACGACAATGTCAAGTTTATTACCATTAACATACACGCTCAGCATCATAGGCGCCTCGCCGAAATCCGCATCAGGTTTCGGTCCCGGAGGGCAATTCGGGGTGGATGAATTTGCGCATGACAAGAACCATACATCATAACCTCCAAGCTGCCTATACCACTTAATCTCGCCCGAGTCCATATCTAAAGCAAGCATAGAATTCGAATGGTTATCGGGCTCAATGCAAGCATCCGGCCGAGTTGGAGTCGTCCGACTGTTCTGTCTCTCTTGACATTCTTCGATTCTTTTAGGTGCAGAGTATAAATTCCCTGTGGCAACATATACATGGTTTCTATATGTATCAATTGAAGGGCTGCTTCCCCAAATTGCCCCTCCAGCGTACTCTCCTCTCTTACCGTGGTTGTTGGGAAGTGTATAAGTTTTCCACAAAATAGCGCCGGTGTGGATGTCTAATTTGGTAAAACTACCGCGAAAGGTGCAACAATTCTCAATAGAAGAAGCTTCTTCCAACGAAGATACTCCAACATAAAAGCCTCTGTGAAATCAAAAATGGAAAAAGGTAACACTTGACTCGCTAATCAGAGGATTGTGCAAAGACGGTGTGAAATTTCACACAACTTACTTGTTGTAATAAGTTCCAGACATGGTAATAACAGCATATGGATGGCTATCAACTTTCTTTTTCCAAATAATTTTTCCAGTTGCACGCTCAACGGCAATAACATAAGCCGGTCCATAGATCCCAACAATTAGCATATCATCGTCAGCTATCGATGGAGTTGCTCTAGACAAAAGTGCTACTGAAGTAAGATTTAGAATTGTCGGTAAGGTCGACTTAAGTCCAGTTAGCTTTTGCAGATTCTTTTTCCACACAAGAGAGCCATCAGAGGCTTTTACTGCATAAAGATAGCCATTCCAGCTAGGGAAATAGACTGTCCCTTTGTAGATTGCTGGTGTTGCTGATACGTCGTCCCCTGCGTAGAATTCCCACTTGAGACGCAATTTAGGAGCAGTAGACGGGCTAATCTTGGTTTCGCCTTCAGCATATCTTCGGTTGTATTTGTTACCCCCGTGGTTTAACCAGTCTCCCGGAGAGGGATACTTCTCTTCATGATGCCACTGTACAATAAAAATTTGAAACCGTCGAAACAGAATTACTACATGTTTGATATATAGTCGAGTGACATTAGAATGAATAAAATTTGAGTTTACCTGCGGATTACATGTAGTGCAAGTGACTAGACAAAAAATGGAAATGAAGATAAAAAAAACTTCAATGTAAGTTTGATTACGATCCATCAAATTCATGGAAACTACATGAATTTTTTGATTTCTCTATAAGGGAGACAATGAATTTATAAACTTTTGCGAGCTGACTTTTCTCTAAAGATCTAGATTTAAAAAGGCAATATTTAACGGTCGGCTTTTGTAAATTATTTTATTTATTTAACGGTCAACTTGTGTGTGTTTGGTAGGTGATGAGAGTATTTTCAAGAGATTCTTTAAAAATAAAGAGTGTATTTTGAAATTTAGGGAACATCTATAAATTTAGAGTAAAATTTTTTAAATACTCCAACAACTTCTTTATCTTTTAACACTTGATATTACTACCATCAATATGTATTTTTCATTTTTCCCTATCTTTTATTTTCACAACATTCTTCCAAATTATTATATTATTTTCCTCAAATTTCTTTGTATATGCTGCTTAATTGGGTCAACATATGGAGTATTGAAGACAAAAATATATTGAATGTATTTAATTATAAAGAGTGGGTCAATTTTAAAATGTTAATTTGAAGAGTATTTTGAAGCATGATTTTTAAGTATTGACTATCTAAAATATTTAGTCACTTTTAAAGGGCCATTTGAAAATGCTCTATGAAAATTACTTTAGACTAATTTCTTTTAACCAGACAAAGTAGTATCACAAAATTATTTAAGTATATTCAAAAATATATTTTTAGTTTTGAAAATAGCTTTTGCCTTTTCAAAACTCATTTCAAATGAACCCTAATCCATGTCTTCTCTTCTTAAGACAATAAATCGGGTAGGGTGCGTCTAGCTACAAGTAAAAATAGATAAAAGTCATTAATTACCCTGTAATTTTGAGTATTCTAAGTTAAAAATAGATAACTAAACTTAGTTACCTGATTGATTATGGCCAATGAAGGATTATGAGCTATAAATTTGAGACTGTCTTCTAAATTATGCAATTATTGGAGCGTCACTAGGGAGTTGACTTGTCCTCCCACATGTATTATTTTTGTCTATTTAAATTGATTCACTCAATGTATTAGGCTAATGAAACACAAATTGCGCTTAGCTTACATCACCACAGGAAAAACAAAAAAAGAAATTGAAGTAGAAATTTAGACGCTGGCATTAAAATAAGCATTGCTAAAAGAATAAATTCGGATATTAGGTTCTAGAAAATATAATGATGTGTTATCTTGAGCTGACCTAACAATTGGGTTTGGCCTAAAACTCATGTTGAACTCTGAGATTTTATAATAATTGCAGAAATAGCACTAGTAAATACTTGAATGGACTGTTTGACAGTTTTTGTTTTTACTTTTTCTAAAAATAGCTTAAAAAAAAAAAAAAACCCTAGACAAAGCTTTTTAACTAGACAAAATGCTCTAAAAAATTGTCTAAACAAGTTTAAAAGTAACATCTTAATTTTAAAAGCAATTTTTGACTCGTCAAAAGCTCTACCAAATGAGCCCATAGTCCAAAAGTTCTTCCAATAATAATAACAATAAATAAAAATAAAAATAAAATACATATCTAAGGTTATCACAAGATACAATTTCAAAATTAAGAAACTTGTTTTAAAGTTTCAAAAATCAGGTCATAATTCAAAATTTATTTATTATGGGAGTGTTTGAGCAACATTATTTTGGTAATAATGCATTCTTGAATAATGTATTGATGGGAAATGTGTGGTTAAAAAATAAGGAAAAGTTTTTATCTGCGTGTAATATTATTTTATTGAGAAATGTGTGGTTGAAATGATGTCAAATCACTGTTTAAAAATGTATTTTTTTTGAAATAATGTGACTCAAACATGCCCTATATATACAATTAAAAATACTTAGGTAATCAAATGTATTAATGTTACAATATTATACAGTTTATGGTTACAGTTAAGTACAAGTCAAAACCACATAACACCACAGTCACAAATCATAAATTCTATAGTTCACAACTTATTTATTAGTCATAAATTATTAAATTAATTGGTCACACGCATTATTTCTCGATCACAAATGTCACAAAATTATGGTCACAGTTATAAATTGCATAAGGTCACAATCACAAAGCCACATTGTGAGTCATAATTACAGATTTAGTCACAATCACACGTATTTTAGGTCACATATTATTTATTTATAACAATTACCCATTTTATTGATCAACATCGAAGAAGAGAAGAAAGATGAGTATGAGCACTGTGTGATTTGGGATTCTTAAGGTTTGGGTGGGTGTGATTCAGAGAGAAAAGAAAAAGGAAATAGAGAAAAGAGAGTGGATGGAGATAAATTTTGATAATAATATTATTAATATTAAAAAATGAATTATGATGCAATTTTTGAATAAGTTTGTTTTAAATCTGATTTTTGAAGTTGAAAGTTGAAATCTATATAGGATAGAGATAGTTGGCCCTGTTCAAATAGGGCGCGAGGGCGGGGGGGCTGGACGGCATAACTCATCCATATATGAGTGTAATCTCCCCCACCCACCAAGCCAAAAAAATATTAATATGTGAATAAGTTATAACATGTAAAAATTAGAAGGAAAAAAAATCACAAGAAGAGCATTTCTCATACAAGTAAACAGATTCGAGTTTGGAGACGTACATCATGTTAAAATCCAAGTCAAGTACATAACTTGATAATTGATATGGAGAAAACAATAACAAATTCTCACAATCAAATTTATATATATTATTTTATGACATGCATTAAAAGATGCGAGTATTTATAGCATGACTTTATACAGAACTCTATTGTATCGTCTATCTATTTTCCATGATTTTAGTTAGATTTCAGTTAGTTGGGTTATGCAAAGAGGTTGATCCGAACTACAATATGGTCCATATCTCAATCATTTTTTAAACATTTAATCTTATTTAAGACTACGTACCAAATATTTCATAATTGTCAAGACTTAAAGACTCCTTTATTTTTAATCATTCTTACCAAATCATGGCCCTAGTTGAACCCATGAGGTTTTTGGATTTAGAAATGTCCATTCGTTTTCCACATAGCTACACCCAAAATGGTAACCCTTTTTAATTTCTTTGAAATCTATCTTTCCACTTGCCCTAGAGAATGCAAACTACAATGATGTTGGAACAAGCGAAGATTTTAGGTTTTCAATTCAAAATTTAAATCTTTTCTGCATTCTTCCATCACTATTTCCAAAAAAGAAAATATATTAATGGTCCTGTGCCTAATTGCATCTATTAGGGTGTGTTTGATTACATTTATTTTTCATGAAAAATATTAGTTTTTCATCCAAATTCCAACTTGGAGTGTTTGATTGCTATTTTTTTTTCATGGAAAACATTTTCCAACTTTTAAAAATTTGTCTAATTTTCCTTGTTTTTAAGGAAAATATTTTAATAAGGAAAGCATTTTCTTTTCTACGTGATATTTTTCATGTCAATCAAACACACTCTTAGAGTGTGTTTGATTGACATGGAAAATATTACCTAGAAAAGAAAATGTTTTCCATCTTTCGTGGAAAACAAAAACCACCTCCACCCAAAGAAAATATTTTCCTTAAAAACAAGGAAAATTAGGCATATTTTTAAAAGTTGAAAAATGTTTTCCATGAAAAAAAAATAGCAATCAAACACTCCAAGTAAGAATTTGGGTGAAAAATTGATATTTTCCATAGACAATAAATGTAATCAAACACACTCTTAGTGAAAAGAGCAGAGCTATAGGTACATGAAAATTTCACAGAATTTTGAAAGATTTAGGTCCTGTTCTCTTTACCATTTTCGGGTCGTTTTCTGTTTTCGATTTTTCAAAATGGTGAAAACGTGTTCTTTTTCCCGTTTTCGAAAACAAAAAAAAAAATTTGTAAAGAAAATACAAAACGATTTTTTTGTCATTTTAGGCGTTTTCAGTATAAAACTTGAAAAAATTGAAAACACGGGAAACACCTTTTTTTATTTATTATTATTATTATTTTTTTTTTGAGGAGGTGGTGTGGTGATTCTCAAAATTTCAAAAAAAATTAAAAATTAATTATTATTATTATTATTTTTTGTTTTTGTTTTTTGAGGTGGTGTTGTGGTGATTCTCAAAATTTCAAAGAAAAAAATTTCATTTTTTTTTGTTTTGAGAAACTAACAAAAAGAACGCATTTTCAACAATTTCAAAATAAACATTCAAAACACAAAACTCAAAATGAATTCAAAACTCAAAATACAAAACTGAAATACAAAGAGAACACTCCCTTAACACTTGATAATTTTTCATGGGTTATGGACCCAAACATGACAGGAAATGCACCATTGGCAGCACCTGTATGGATTCTATGCATTATTTCCTGTACGCAGGGAATGATGCTAGTCAAAAGCCTCCCACAATTTCAAAATTTCCCTAGCAAATGTCATTCTTCTCGGTCGGAATAAGTAGGTTAACTCCTTTCCTTAGCATGGTACATTTCAAGGTGTGAGTCAGAGAGAGGGATGTCATAATTGGGGTTTTGAATAAGATACCTTTTGATTTATTTGTTTTCGACCCACCAATTTTTTACTATGATAATCTTTAATTAAACAAGTTTATGGTTAATTGACTGTTTATCCTCATCCAAAGACACCTCAGCTCCTGTTAATTTGTTTTTCTTTGGGTTATAAAGCTCATAACAAATATAACAAACATTTCTGAAAGCTCTGCCATATGCTCTTTAGTGGCAGTGTCTTAGATAAACCAGAAAACATGTCCAACATTTTCATATTCTTGTGTTTCATCATTTTGGCGCTTGGGAATCTTGCCAATGTCTCATCAGCTCATAAGCTTGGGATTTATGAGCTCATCTTAAGAAGGTGATATTTCTATAAAGGTTACTAACTATGGTGCAAGAATTGTCTCTGTTATTCTTCCTGATAAGAATGGTAAAGTTTCTTTATTTTGGTTTTATTTTTGATCTTTGTTCTACTTTCTTTCTGATGAAATAATGTTTTTCCATTTTTTTTAAGGGAAATTAGCTGATGTTTTTCTTGGTTATGATACTATTAATGAGTACATGGTATGTTTTCTTCGTCTTTAGATTGAAAACTGATTCATTTTTTCTCAGAATAAGCAATTCTCGGTAAGAAATAG